TGCAATACAATTGTGAAGGCCTGTTAGTAGCACAACATAGACTTTATCTGACCTACTCAGAACTGGAGTCTACAAGAAATATTAGTTATGAAATTTTACAAATTGATCTGCATTGGATGTTTTTAAAATCACAAAAGGTTTTTTAATACCATTATTAATCAGTTTAATATACCTAGTTAAAAAAAAAGAATATTTTTTTTGTTTCAATAACCTAAAAGCAAACATTTAAACATAAAAATGTATTTATTTGTCTCTGTTTGTTAGGTTGAAGTAAACTATCTCTTGTTTTATAACTGTCCCTACAACTGTTTTGTTTACTGGATTGTTTGCTTGGTTACTGCTACTGATTTTACTTTTAAAAAGCATCCCATTGATTCTCCATGCATCACAAGGAGCAAAGCTCGAGGCTCTAAGTAGCTGAATAAAGGTCAAGCTAGCTTTAGGCAATAATAAAGACAACAACGTTGTCAAGGGTTTAGATAGAAAATGATTCAAGTAACGAAGAAAAGAACACTTTAAAAGGATATATGTTGATATCTTTTAACGGTAGACTAACACAGGCAACCAAAACACATTTCTCAGCTTGTTGTTCATTTCTTACAGTATTACAGAAACCAGTAACCTCTGCAAAGACAAATGTGTTAATATGAAACTTCAGTGAAAGTTTTTATTTAAATACCTCTACGCCACCGTCAAAACTAAAGCATTTTTAACCTTATAATTAATGTATCACTTCAAACAGGCTGTTCATTGACTCCTTAACTCTCTAGTGAATAAATGTTAAAAACCTCCAACTTCAATTTCTCCTTCATGGGGTAATCTGTAACCTGAGTAGATGGAAACAAGAAACTCAGAGTTGGCAAAAAAAGAAATTATCAGCTCGTACTGGATCTAATTTGCAGCATCAATGGCTTAAACATCACAGATAATTACACAATTAATGAAAACTTATTTTAGCATAAAGTGAGGTGAACACAGATGACAAAGTACACGGCCGCTGTAAGACTACATTGGATACAGTAAACTGTAAAATTATAAAGTGATCATTGTTTTTGGAAATGTGCCCTTACCCTTCAGTAAAAAATTCATCGTTCATGCAACAGCTGGTGGGAAGACAAATATACCCAAAAATCTGTCCATAACATGTGGAAACTGATCGCAGACTGGCTGAAATGGCTGAAAACACAGGAAATAAGTAAGCTTTCTATTTGTCACAGCCCATCTGCCTGAAGACAACAGCTACGGATTCCTAATGATCCTCCATCATATGACTCCTTCAGAGCCCACTCACAGCGATTAAACCTTCCAGCACAGCTGACTGGGCCCACTGGCAAAAAAATCCTCAACAGCTGAAAGAACATGCACACATATGCTGAGTATTCACAAAAGGGCACGGCATTTGTTGCTTATTGTTCTCCTGACTTGGTCTGCGTTTTACTGAGACACAAAGAGTTAAAAATCCACTGCTGTCAGTTTGAATTTAGTCCGTTTCTATGTCTTCAGGCCTGACCTGAGGATACATGTGTCTGATATTGCCAAGCTCAAGCAGAGTGGAGCTCGAATCTGTGATGGAATGATTCTAATTAACGTGGTACTCTCAAAAGGCATGGCAATGTGAAGTGACATGAGCTACTGATGTAAGGTGACTTTGAGCCATGTTATAAGATATTGTACTGCCTGACATAGGAGACTTCACGGGTCATAACAGCACCACGCAATGAATTTTATCTCTGTAAAAGAAATCAAACCAAGTCAAAACAAATAGGGACGGCGACTAGTATGTAAGTTTGCAAGGTTTACAACAGATTTTTTTTGTCCTACTGTTCATATGGTTTAAAGTTCTGAATCGAGATGAAGTGCCTTCTCTGGATATAAAGCATATCTGTGACTAGACCAACTAATTTACCAGCTAATGTTGTGATGGTCATTCCAAAAATAATCACTTGTCCTGAATCCACTTTGTAACTAATTTGGTCATGCTAATGGCTCACCAAGCGCTGTGTGTCTATGATTTAGTAAGGAGGCTTCATTCACTGAATACTGGTGACAAATAGAATGAACTACTTCAGCAGAGTGCTGCCTCGACCCCACTTGCTGCTAGCCCAACAAGCTATCAACAAGTGAGCAACAAAGGACTGTAGTACAAGCTGAAGTACTGCTGTCAGCTTGTAGTACTTGTGCTACTTTATACAGAAAAGAATGGCAAGAAGGATAATTTTTTTCATGATAATTCTATCCAATTTAGTCACTCAAAAAAGGACTTCTAAATGTGGAGGGTAATTGTTCTGTGTGCAACACACTCAAAATAAGTAATTTAATAGATAACATTACTATGATACCATGTAACCTTGTTATTTTTTCTTAATGTAATCATCCTAATATCACATTGGCCCACACCTTACTGCAAAACATAGTTGAAGCTATTTGCTAGCTTGTAGCAAATAGCTACAAGGTTTCATACCCCATGAAACCATGGGGAATGAAATAAAATCAATTAAATAATGTCAATTAATGTTTTCAGTACATGTTTAAACTTCAATTTTCTTTTTTCTTTTTAAAAATGTATTGCAATTACAGAATAACTTCAAACTTTACATTGAACAATAGTGTAAGCTGAATATCCTCCATGTTCAAGCCACAATGCTCTCTGCTGTTTTAAATGTTGAAAATATATTCTACAGTAATAAAATAATGGCATTTTAGCTAAACAGGACAAATACAAGTTAGTTAACTGATATTCTAACCACTAATAAACCTTTCCAAGAATTGCCATGCATGATCTTTTGTTTCATTTGGAAGTTATTTTACAACGCCAACAGAATAAATTGTTAGACGTGCAATTCTTTTGCACATGTGGATTATTAAAGGAGAATTTACAGAATTCCACAAATGAACAGACCTTTAATCTGACAAAGTAACCGAGCTTATTAGATTTTTAAGCAAGCAAACTACATGTAAATAATTACCGTTTCTTCTTATTCCCTGCCCTTTCCTTTCTTTTTATCAATTTAAATCACGATAAGCATTACTGTTATAAGACTTTCGTCTTTTGTTTCTAAAATTCAAGCTTAATGTGATGTCATGCGGGAAATATTCCCATTTTCCCATTGAAAGCTGCCAGTCAGCAGAGAGGAAAAGGGAGCAGGCTGACATTTAGCCACTTAACTGTCAAGCAGTGACCGGGCAGATTTCTTCATCGCTTAAAAAGCCTCGACTTATAGATCCGCTCCTACCTTTATATTTTTCCAGTACGTCCTCGTAGGCTTGGAGGTATTCCTGTTCGTCCGAGAGCACATAGCCCTGCGGCGCGCACTGAGCCATGACCCGGGCTTCACAAACTGGACGCTCACCAGAGACGGACTGGGACACAGCATGTGTGTCGTTGTGTAGCTCTACATGCTTGTGTGTTCGTGCGCCTGTGCATGTGTAATTGCTGTGGGCTGGAGAGTGATCGGCGCTGTTGTCGTTCTGAAGGAAACGCCCTGCAGCCCTCCCTTGTCTGCAGTCTGACCAATAGGAAGCCCTTCCTCTGTGACTTTACAGGACCGATAGGAAGGACTGCACTGTAAAAAATAATCAATGTCCGTCTTCACAGCCCAACCCAAAACTGACGTTAGAACTAACATTAAGGAATATTGTATATTGCACAGTCTTACTAGACCAGACTTAGTTAGATCCAGAAGAAAATGTTACTAAAAATGGGCTGACATTAATTTAATGTCATGGAAACAAAAAAAAAAAATGACAGCATTAAATATTAATGTAAACAACCTTTTCATTGTTTTCCAAAACGACTGCTCTCTTTATAGCAGAAAGTACCATATGACCATGTGCCATTTGAATCTGTAGATACAAACTGTTTCCATAAGGGGAAAATGCCATTTTAACAATGTATCTTTAAAATTTCTTATTTTTCAACATTAACATGTAACATACAAAAAAAAAAAAAAAAAAAAAAAAAAAAATTCCAAGTCTCTCGACTTAGCTTTCGATCTCAAACACCTGGAAAGGTGCTCCTCACAAGATGTCTTATCTAAATATAATTAATTCAAACATGTAGTATATTAAAAAAATATAGTGTTGAAAAGTAAGATGCAGTAAACTAAGCCACAACTGAAATAACAGTACTGCAAATGAAATGACTAACTTACTGCCACATAACTGCCATCCAGCTGTTATGTGTTGTAAAATTTAGAAAAACCTGTAATAGCTCACATTCAAGCAAAAGATTTCACTATCGTCTTTATTGCATTGTGGCCACAGTGATTCTGCTTCAGACATGATGTGTTCACTGTTTAACAACTTGCTTGGAAACTTAAATTCTTGAGGGGTTTTCTGGAACTTGTGGAGGATTGGTGTGGTATTTGTAATTTTGATTGAGAATCAGAATAATCAGAATTAAAATTAAATTGTTGTTGTTGTTGTTTTTTTTCCATTATTATATTTATGTTTATTAACAGAACCGGTCCAGAAGATTAAACAAAATATGTTGTAAATAAGACTATTAATGTATTTTTTTACAGTGCACATAAAATGAGCGTCCTGTCAATTTGCTCCGTTATTATTAGCGCACTTTTTATTGCTACTGATTTCCTGTAACTTTCATAAATCCACAAATCAAAGTTCTGTTTATTTTGCGGTTTATCAACTGGGATTTTACTGTCAGAACAGATCTTTATGAGCTTTAATTGAGCCCGGACGATGCAGTTATGTCGACAATTTTACGATATCAAGCGGTGTCAAAGTAACACTATAAAACGATTAGGTGCGGTAAAGACAGGTCGCCTGCATTTCATCACGTTTCTGTCAACCTGATTTCTTAAAGGTCTTATTGGTTTCATTGACGTTCAACGTTGAAAATAAAATCCATAGAAAATCTTAAATATAAGAGCACATCAACAACAATATACCCGTACATAAATCCCATTATTGCTCATTCAGTCTTTGTTTTGTTTTCTCTCTCGATCTCTCTCTAACTTAACAAGGTGCGCGTCCCTCACCTGCGATCCTGAGCACAGCTCTCTCAGCTGGATCCAGTACGGATCCTCCCTGGATCTTCCTCTTGGACCGCTCGTGTCTCGGCAGGTTCCAGGGCAAAGTGTCGCCGGGTGCCGGCGACGCCGATCCGGATTTGACGCTGCTGTAGTCATCCTCGTCCGAGATGTCTGCCGAGGAAGACATGGAACAGTGCAGGGAAGGGTTCCCCGAACTAGAGCTCTGTGAGACAAAAGGAAACGAACAATGTCTTGATTATACACACATTCGCACACACGCATATACACGAACACATAGATGAAAGGCTAAAAGGAGAGAAAACACCGCCAGGCTGTGATCGCATTTCTCTCACCATGACTGGTCAAGGTGCGTAATGTGCGTGCATGTTATGAGTGACATGGGCCACCAGTTCACAGCGACCCAAAACAATAAAATACTGAGCCAAATAAAAGCAAGACGAAATGCAATAGCGTCTAGCTCCCCCGCCAGGTCAAGTCTAAGACTTACCACAGTATACATGGAGACCTGTCAGCTGGAAGAAGAAGAAGAAAAAATATATATAATCCTATTCGGGCATCATTAGCTTCCCCCTTCAGTCATTTATTTTAGGGGTGCCACACCCTTCCAGGGATGCTCCGGACTCTGTTTCCCCCTTAAGGCAGCATCAGAGATGCGGAGTGATGCAAGATCTCCTGAGGACCGACAGAGGATGATGCCGGTGGGTGCTGTGTGTCGAGGCTGAGCTGAGCTAGACCGTGATGGGAGAGCAAGACTGCATGTGTCTGCGCGTCATACCCGGCAGCCAACAGCAGCAGCAGCAGCTGCTGCTGCTTCGGTTCTGACGGCGGTGTTAGAGCGCCATCTCTTACACAAAGGAAGCTGGTGGCTGTAAACATCCCCCTCATAAAGGGTACAATAAGTTCCAGAGACACGCTGCGTTCACAATGGTGACAGCCGTAATTCCACAACAAAATGTAGGGCTCAGCACAAAGAACGCACTAACTTGTCTTTTCACCTATATGATAGGATAGTTACCTGAGAAAAGTTTAGTTGCACATGAAGATTTCTGTTTCCAAAATTCATTGGTTCTTTTAAGATTCTTTAAGTTTGGCTATTCATCGGCTAAAGTTAGGGGTGAAAGCCTCTGTTTCTGTTGTCTTTTCCTGCTGCACCTTGACACTCCCCAGCTTGAGCAACAGAACAAATAAAGGCAAACACATCCCTAAGGAGGAGGGTTGGGTGAATTATACTTGTACAATCACGTTCAATTTGCCTGGTGATCAGGGACTTTAACAAGGGCTTACCAGGGCAGTCGCATCAAGCCCAGAGGTTTGGAGGAGCAACACAAATAATTAACTTGTTTTTATTATTTTACTAAGTTTTGAAAATTGAACCGATTGAGGTTTTATTCAATAATTGGATACTTTTCGAAAGAAAATCTATTGGCTGATCAAAAAGTCTATCAATAAAAATGAGACAAGCATCTCACAAAAGGTATTACAAAAACATAAAAGCTATCAGTCAAAAAATTATTACTTACATTTCTTTTTAAATATGTAGGGGTGCACTGATTCCAGGTTTCTGGCCGAACACCGATCAGCAATCTTTAAAATGCCTGACCTGCCGATTCCATACCATTATTCTTTTTGTCTGGAATGTTGTTTAACTTAGCAATAAAGTGGCTGAGTTGGTATTGGTGAGTTAACTGCAAGCACGCAGACATGAACTGGTGGGCCTGTCTGTCAGTCAAACCTCTCTCTCCGGAGAGCATAAGAGAACAGTGGTTGATTTTTAGACCTTTGTTGAGGTAGATAAGTTCGAGGGCTTTCCAAGCTGATCACCTGCCTCCCAAAATGAAGGAAATCGGTGCAAATAAATGAGTGCACCCCTACAAAAATGATGCTGAAAAACATTTATCAGTGGAAAAATAAACATAGGGTGAACAGTCCCCTGTGCAGACTCTCTTGATGATGAAATAAAAATAAAATAAAATACAATGAATGAAACATTCAACATATAATAATTTCTGGTTAAAAATGGGCGCAACATTCAAACTTTTGTAAATATTTTACAAATTCTTAAAAGCAAAAAAAGAAACCTATTGGTCATACTACCATAAATTTAAAAGACTAGTAAAGCCACATCTTCTTTTTGTGCATCCACAACAGTTAACATATATATGTTATTTATTAATTTTTTAGACTTCAGGGACACATATTTGCAAAATAGGAGTTTGGGATTTCTATCCACTTTTGTTCTTTTGCATCTATAAATAGATGGATTGTTTGTGTGAAGAATTTTTCAACAGGGCCACGCAGAATCATTTCTCATTTAAAATAGAAACGCTTTGTTAATAATAGCAGCATCACTGCCTCCTGTTTCATCAGATGAAAACCAAGTCCTGCAGAGGCAGCTTTATGTTGCGTTTATATTATGACCATACTTCCGCTTATTCAGAATAAGAAAAAGTGAAAGGACATACGGCTTAAGATCCATTGTTTTTCTAGGGGTAAATGAAAATTTACCTGAGTAAATCTGACAGTGCACAAAATCCCTGCAGAAGCAAGGATACAAGAAAGATCACAGAACCACCCCACAATGACTCATTTCTCTCCAGGGAGTGGCCTTAGATTACTGTTACTTGGCAGAGTCTCTACTCTGTGGTTGGCAAGTTTTAAAAGAAAAATCATTGTGGGTAAAACATGAAAGGAAGCACAAAGTTTTCATCCTCGTTTGGTAAAACATTTAGCTTTTTTTACAAGATTCATGCAGGCAGCGAACGTCTTTAAGAGCAAGACATGAAATAAGACACGTCTGCATCGGCTTCACTTCCTGTCAATAAAATGTGTTGTCGTTAGCTCCTTTGCACTGGTCTGGACCAGTTAAACAGATTAAAGGCTGGAGACACGTTCTTATCGACACGACCACTGTAAATCTGTCATCTTGACAATATAGGACTGTACCACAAAAAAAGGGTGGGATGATAATTAGCCTAATTATACAAATTACTATTTTTTTCTGATTCAGGCTGAATCCTGACATGCTAAAATATGTTTGGTCATCTTGGGACTCTTGTGATTTTACAAATTTGCTAATGTTTATTTGCACAACTAGGTCAAGAGTTCTGCCACTTATCTGTTTGTTACACTTATGGTCAATTTATAGAAATTATTGCTTGGTTTAAAGTAAAATAAGTGAAAAATTATGTAAAAAAAAAAAAAAAAGAAAAAAGAAAAAAAGCTTTGGCACATCTATGCTGGATCTTGTTTGTTGAAGACTGCAATGATTAAAAACCAAAATGTGTCCCTGTGATCTCCAGTTATCATACAGGACTACACAGATCAATAGGTTCCTTTGAACTATTAGTCACTTCCAACATAACACAAAATTTGACAGAGATCACAACTAAAACTACTGCAGAATAGATATGATGAGGGTTGAAGTTCACCTTCACAAAACATAAACCAGAGCTGCAATAGAATGTTTTTTGCTCAAAGCATAAATATTAATTAGAATGACTTAAATCTAACTAAGAATCTTAGTAATACTTAAAAATAGCTTTTCACAAATGCTTTCCATTCAGTCTGAGTGAGATGGAGCTAATTTGCAAATAAGTGTCAAAGGTCTTAGTGTCTCGATGTGCAAAACCAAAGGAGATGTTCCCCAAAAGACTTAAAGCTTTTATTCTGCAAATTATTGACAATTAAGTACCACACTTATTAGATTTTTTTTTTTTTATCATCAAAACTTTTATAACTTTCCAGGATTCACGTAAATCCCAATGAATGACATTTGTAGTGTGAAAGTGGTAAGTAGTTTTTGTGTAATATATGAAATTTTTCAAATATTTGTTATACGTGAAAATATCTCTAAGTAGCAGGCATAGAAATATTTAATGGTATAATATATATGTGTAAGATCTTTTCTTGCTGGAGAAAATGTTTTCAGTTTAAAGCAGCAGGTGAACACCCAACTTTCCAAAGAAACCAACGTGTCCACACCCAATAATTCCAAATGCTTCGAGCTCTTTGTACTTTTCCAGCTAGAAAAAAAAAAAAAACAAGCAATTATTTTCTGATCAGGAGATGGGTTCTGTCTCTCCTTAACTTTTTGACCACACATTCTGAAAAGATAAAGCGCTCTGCTGAGAATAAAACCTTTGTGCTATATGGCACATAGGCAGGGTATATCATGTTTACAATTGAAGCTGAAGGACTGAAATGAACAGATATGGTTGGAATGATAGCAGGTACCATCTTGAACAAGAGGACTGAATAAACTGAACAAATATCACTATAAAAATGAATTATTTTGAATTTGAACCGCAAAGTTGTAGCAGGCAAGAAACAACTATAACCATTTCAATGAGAAGCTATGTGACATTTTTTGTATAAAAGTATAAACTTGAAATTTGATTCTCAATCAAAAATGTGTATTACTCAAAACTTCCACTTACACACGTTTCACTCTGGTTTCTTCTTAAAAATACCTTTTTCTCTCTGTCACAGTTCCTCAAAAGAAAATAGCATTTATTTCATTAATATCCCCTAAAATTATTCAGAAGGGGCTTTATTGTATGTTGTGTTAACAATTGCTAGTTGTATATGTTAGAAGATCAGTCATAATTTAATGAAATGGCAGTTTTTTTTATCTTCATATGTCATATAACTCTTACCCATAATAGCTTTTCAGAGATTACCTATGTAGAGATCAAAGTTCAAAAGCACACCCATATGCAAGCCCTTTAAATAAACCTTTTTTTAAAGATCTTAAATGTTCAAAAGCACACAGTGGACCCCAGTAGCGGATAAATCAAATAACCTGCACCACCTCATCATCTGTGTTAATGATGGTTACCGTTAGGGAGGGATACCTACAGCTTTACGAGTGGGAGTGACTTGCACAGATTGGTAAAACTCTGGCGGGAGTCTCTTCTTGACTTTACGTTTTCTCACGGTCGAGGATACATCGGGTTCACTCTCTGGAACCTCGACCAGACTGGGCTTTTCTTCCGTCACTCGGGCATGCACGGTCCTTCTTAAGTGACGTGGACTGTGTCTGAAACCCTGGGAAAAACAATGAAATGTCAAAAAGGCACAGATGTTACAACATTCAACACAGAAACTGTCTCACATTCAGGGATGCAAATAAATCCTGAGTTCTAATTGTTTTTCAGACAAATGTGAAAAATTAAAACTGCAGTTACTTGGTTGCATAAATGTACTTTGTTGAAGACCCTTTTGATCAGATTTCAACATTCAGTCTTCTTAAGTTCACATCCCGCAACAACTATAACGACACTCGTCTTGTTGAAATTAAGATGACCTGTTCTTGCTGTTCTAAAATCTCCTAAAACCTTGTGGAGTGGACTCATGAGACCTAACTTGAATTTTTAGGCCATAATTTCGAGTAGTAGGTTTGGCACAAAAAAACACACTGCACTGCCATGACTGGCAGAGACCCAAACACAGAGACGAGGGCGGGATGAGCAAGCTGCACACAGGAATGGAAACGGCTGTGAAAAAGCTGAGGACATAAATAAACGATAGTAAATAATCAAAAATGTAAAATACTGAAACACAAAGAGGTCAGACGGATGGGGATTATGCAAGTAACTGCTTGTCACAGACAAAAACACTACATTCATGAAATATGATGGTGGCAGTAAAATCTTATGCAGTTATTTTGTCTATTTATCTTCAGATGGAACTGAGATTTTGCTAAAGTGAAATAAGTTAGGAATATGTCCAATTATTATTTAAATTTGAACTGACAGAAAGAATGTGAGGGGATCCAATAATCTGGAACATATTTGATTTTTAGAAGTTTTGCAGGCAGAGGTGACTAATAATAATTTGCCAAGTCAAGATGTGAGATGCTTACAGATGTATAACAAAGAAGTCTCAATGCAGAAATTGCATCAAAGGTTGTTTTAATACACTAATGAAAGATATTTGCTTGACTTCCATGTGTTCTACACAATTGAGTTGTATGGGATACATGTCTAATTACATGTGTCTTAAAAAATGTTATCATTTATTATGTCCTTTGTTACAGGCATATGGAATTTTAACAGGGAGAACTGTATAAATCTTAGAATTCATCTTGAAACAAAATTAAGTACATGTTTTTGTTTCATAAATAACAAACAATAAAATGAAAATAAAGCTTTTTGCACCTTCGTCTAGGGGTTTATTAGGAGACAAAAGGATATAACTTAACAACACTGAAGGTCCACAACAGCCTTGATGTCCTTGAATATGATACCCTATGAGAACTGAACTGAGTCAGCGGGGATTCATATTAAATCCAGGTTCAATAACATGACCTACCATGTTAAACCAGCTCCTACTTTTTTTTATTACAATAAGGATGGAAAACATCAGTTTGTACTATCATTACAGAAATATATTACTTTCCAGAGATACTGAAACCACGTCTTCCATATGTCAGAAAGTTCCAGCAAAACACAGCAATCCTGATGTAAGACTAAGGCAGCTTTTCACACTTGATTTAGACAATTTCCATGATTTGTTTGGAGTGAAAAGCAAGCGAGAAAAATACATTATCTAGATTAATATGTTGCTTTGGTTTTTATCTAGCCTGGATTACACCGTTAAAAGGCTTTCTGTTGGTTCAGTTGCACCTCGTGTTTGACAGTTATGAGAGCACACGCAAAGTCTTAATTCATTTAAACTGCAAAACCTCTTCGCCAACATTATTTATTGATAATGGTTGCGCATTGCGCACATTTACAGTACCTGAAATAGTCATGCAGTCCCGGGTAAAAGTTCAAAGAACCTAACTTTGTGAAGCTCTTGGATTTCAGAAGTGGCCTACTTGACCAAACTTTACTCAGTGTATTAATGACAAAACAATGTGAAAGGTTATCCTACCTCCGATCGAAAATGATGCGTTCGGAGACCAACTACAGAACAGATAACATATTTTGCATTAGACTTTGATCAAACATTCTTTTAAAGTGTGAAACTGCACAGTAATTCTCAGATGTGTTATGCTTGTTAATTACCAACGCAAGAATGCAGAAAACAGCATGCACAATAATGTAGACTAAGCAGTTAGGGATGATGAGATGCGGCTGGCCTGCGCTGTACTCACCGCGACTCCTGGAGCGTCCACCGGAGAGCACAGATTTCATAGGATGTTTCCCATTTCGGAGCCTGCGATGCCAGCAGCAGAAAAATAAAATCGTCGCAATAGTCCCGAGCAAAAGCAGCAGAAGCAACAGCACACACTGAATGCTGTATGGCCTTAGCAGGACCAAAAACGCCGCAGCGATCATCATAAGGCGAAATATAGGACAGCTCCTTCTGCTCCAGACAGTTGCCTCCTCTCCTGTGCGCCTTTCCACCACTCAGAGCTCGGGATGCGGCGAAAAGACGTTCGCTGGCATACGTGGAGCATCACACTGCAAAACGTTAAGAGCGCACAGGGTCAAAGTGGACAGTCCAGGCTAGAGATATCATTTTTGTGAGGCACAACGCATGACTCAGCAGAGAGGCGCATCTTTTATTATTTATTTCATTTCCACAAGGGGCAGGGAGAGTCAGCAGATTTATCCCAGGCAGCGCTGCGTCTGCTGCAGAGTGGCCTGCCCACCAGGATAACGCTGCAATATTTCACACTGTCCTATTGGACGGTCGGATGGATATCTGTGTCAGTCACGTTGTGTCAGCCCAGTTCAGATGTAAAATTATGAATGCTTTTCTACCAGTATTGTTTGGTAATAGTTTGCGACTTTCCAGTTTGTGACATACTGATGTCCTAAAAAAATACCTATCTGGTAAATAATATACGTAAAATGGGATTGTATTCTAGCATTTTCAGAATTTGGGAAGGCAACACATACAAACCTTTTCTGGTCATAATCCAGCGCTGATTATAAGGTTTGGATGATGTAATTTTTCTGCTGTAAAATGAGAGTCAAACAGGAAATGAGGAGCAGATGTATTATCACAAAAGTAAAGTATGGAAGACCTCTGATTGCTCCATGAGGCTACAGGAAAAATGTGCGCATTTGACTTTGATTACAGCCTAATCAAAGTGAATTGTGATGGCGAGACTGGGACTCAGACATAAATAGCACAGAAGCTGGCCACAATGTCCCACGTCTCCTAGGAAACGAGCCCAGACATGCGGGAAGTTATTCTGACGTTTGACAGCGTATCCAAGAGAAGAGCTTGGAGGCCATGAGTGGCATCATTGAGATCATTTAATTGAGATCCAAGATCTCTTACAAGAGAGACCAGTTTCGATAAAACAAATAAAATTGCAAACACAGCCACAGAAATTTGACTCAATTAAATAAGCTAATAAAATAGGAACTAAAAACGTCAAATTTCAGTTCTGATAGTTTTAAATTAGGCTGTGTGACTGCGTGGTTTGTCGTGATACTGACGTTAGTTGCACATTCACATAAGAAAAATGTAAAAATTGAATCGACAAATAAAATTGCTAATTCAAGTTTTGCGTTTTGGGAATCCACCAAAAACGCACCTATAGACTGTCTAAAAGACTTGGAGTTCATTGCAAAAGATGAGTGGTTAGTTAACTGCTGTACTGACAGGAGATAAAATACCTCAGAGGGGATTAACAAAATTTTGACATGACTCTGTTAAAATATAAATACATTTATACGATTTAACTGCTGGCACATCATGGTGGATACCGTAAAGTTGTGACAAAAAAAAAAAAGTCCCCGCCTGTCCGGCACACCCCGCAATAAGAAAGAAGCGCACAAGCTTGTCATGACGTAGCAGACTGGATTAGCTGCGTTCACGTTGATTTGGAGTCTTGCAGGAGCTAGTCGCCACTCTGCAAACGGAAAAGCCAGTAGGAGAAATTTGGTAAACGAGCTATTCAGTTTGATCTATATGTTGGGGGAAAAAACAGTCACTTTTGTGATTGTGGAGTACTTTAGCGAAATCAAGACGTTGCTATTGTTGCACTTCTCAAGTAGCTAGCCTTACTAGCTACTTGTAAATGCTAATAAGGCTTACAAATGTCCCAACGTTTGGGACATTTGTTCAAGATTGTCCAACCTTTAAAGTTGTTAAGCAAGTGGTAAGCATTTGTACAGTTGACATGTTGTGGTAGTCCACCTAAAGGACAATGCAAAATGTGTTTAAAATATGGATTTGATCTAAGATATGCAAAGTAGAGCATTTTATATTCGATTCAGGTAAGTACTTGAACATGGCATTTTGTCGCGCCCTGTTGGGTGTACGTTATATTTCAACAACACTTGTTTTAAATGGTGAGCACAGATTGAATTATGCTTTAATTCTGCCAGCTAATATGTTGCAAAAGCCCCTGGTAGTTGTATATTATTTAGACTATTGCTTATGTACATAATTTCTTCTTCTGGCTTAAACTTTGTTGTTGTTGTTTTTTCCCCTCCAAGCTAAATGTCTTCACCAACCCCATTAGACGATGACGATGAGTTGGAAGAAGTGGAGTTTGTATCAGTGGGTCACGTTTACGTTACGTTTCACGTTTTTATTAACTTTTGAGAGTGCTGCAGTTTGAAATGATAACAAAATTAATTTATTGAAGTTGCCATTTGTCTGTCGTCTAGCATTATTTGAAAGCTTTGTTAAGCCATTATTGCACTGTTATCAGAAAATCACGTCAGTTCTACATTCTTTCATTTATGATTGTAGGGTTTTATTTAATTAATCTCATGAATTAATCTTTATTTTAATGCTACTTAGTCAAATGATTTATATTAAATGTAATAAAGCACAAAAGGCTCCAGCATAGATCTCTTGTGTAGTTGTGTTTTTCTGTGATGATAAGCTATGTTCTTCCTTCAGGAGGGCCCTTTTAGACCAGTACTGGAATGCATTGACCTGCTGAGTGACAGTGAGGATGAAGGGTCCTCGTCACTGGCTGGCATGGTGGGTGACAAAATAGGTAAGTGATAATACAAACTTCTAAAAGTGTGATCTTTTTAAAAAAAAAAAATTTCCTAGGTTGAAGACAAAATCAACAGACACAAAGCTCGTGTAACGTCCACACTTGACAGACTGGCACATAAGGTGGCCCAGGAGAAAAAAGAGAGGGCGGATAAATGTAAAGCATTTAAGGTGAGACCTTAAAGAACAAAGTTCAATGTTTTTTCTGCCTAATAATCACACGCCATACTGTATTTTAAACAGAAAATATAAAGATGTACGCAGTAAATATAAAGATTTACAGTATGAATTCCTTTGCATTGCAAATATGATTCCTTGTAGTGTAATATTACTACTTGGAATCTTTAAATTCATATCCACCCCAAGTCATAACTCTTCATTAAATTCTTTAATAGCTGTAGGTCTTTTGGGGGTGTGTTTCTAACTTTCTGTTTCATATCTGGAGTTTTAAATCTCTGTCCAGCTGTTTTTACACAGTCAGATTGGATGAATCTGTAAACACCAATTTCCTGTTTTTTCCGCTTTTGATCTAAACCATTTCATTGCAGCCACCAGCGTATTTCCTGTTGGGGGTAGCATGTTCAGGATTCTGTGCAGTGTTACTTTTCTGTTACACATCGCTTTTACATGTAATCTTAAAAAGTTTAGATTTTTGATGCGTGTATGATTATTGCCAAGTCACACCATATCATGTTGCTTAGTTATAGAGAGTCAAAGGTATAACGGAAACCAAATGTTCCCAATAACCTCTTTCTGCCTTTCTTGAGGATTTATCTTGAAATAAAAATAAAAAAAAAAACATTTGGATAATGCTTGAAATAACAATAATGATATTTTTACTACAATTGTTTTTTCCTGTTTATCAAAGAACAGAATTAAAATAAGTATCCATTATAATTTCTCCCCTGTTTTTTTTTTTTTTTTGGATACAACAAAGACAGTGAAAACAGTGCCCTCCAGTGGCCAAAGCGTAGAATAAACAATTCCAATCAACTATAAATTAGCAACGCTGCACAGTCAGTACTTGTCATTTAAAACACTGGCATTATGTTTTCTTTCTTGGTTTTCACAACTTTGTGCTTGTTGTCATACCTTTGTTGCTTTTCCTTTTTTCTTTTAGGAAAAACAAATCTTACAAAAAGCTCATGGGCAGCAAGAGTTGGCTGGTTCATCAGCAAATGGTGTAAGCATGGAAGCAAAGCGCTGTGTGGACATGTGGTTAAGGATGCCAGGTAAATCTATATTCCAAACAAATCTGGAACTGTTTGGAATATAAATCGCTTTACTCTAATGATCTCTGTGCGTTGTTAAATATAAATAATCATTATGCTTTTTGTGTCTATTCAGGCCCTAAGCCTGGAGTGATCAGTGCCGGTTCAGGAAGAAGACGCACTCATGCCGCTTTCCCTAGAAGCAGTTCAACTGGTCACACTTGCCCAGTAATTAACTGCGGTCGTGTTTACGAGAACATTTCCCTCCTCGATGGCCACTTGAAGCGGTAATGTCGCCGCTCTGTTCACTGCAGGACTATTTTGTGTAGTTTTTGCCGCGTACATAAGGGGGTCATTTTGTGCAAATGTTTTGCAGGTTTGATCACTCTCCATGTGACCCAACAATTCACCTCAGAGGAAGTCCATCCGAGCTCTTCGCCTGCGTTGCCTGCTGTCTGCGCTTTCAGACCAAGGAAGAATGGAAAAAACACGTTGAATCCAAGGTTGGTGTGTTTTCAGTGAAGTCGCTGATGGTGGATATTCTGCTGACAAATTTAAAATGTATTTGCTTTTCATTATTAGATCTCCTCGTCCAGCACTGACAATCACAGCTTGGATCAAACTTATCAGCGGGTCGTTTGCTTTGCCTGTCCCGCCTGTTTCCTCCTCTTTAACTTACGAGACGAGTGTCTTCAGCACATGTCAGACAAAAACCACTTCACTGAGTCTCTCGTTATGACCGGTGAGGCTTATTGATTTAATTAACAACTGATTTGGCAGCACGATGTTCTTATTGTTACATTTGTGTTGGACTTTGTATACATACTTTCTTTAAACTTAAAATTTGATGATCAAGTTTTCGTTGAACTTCTTTCACTTTCTTGTTAAAGAAAGGAAAGGAACAGCGCAGCCGGTTCCGGTCCCACATCACGTGAAGGACCGTCTCATCGCTTTGTGTAAGGATGTGGCATTCAAGGTCCGCTGCTCCTTATGTCACCAAGTGCTGATCTCCCATCAGACAGCTCAAGCTCACTTCAAGTAGGTTTTGTCGCGACTTTATTAATTCCACATATGCAATTCCTTGCGAAGGTATCCCTTGAATTTTCTTTAGCCGTTTTTTCCAAACAAATAAATAATAATGGTGCAAGAAATACAAAACATAAACAAATAAAAATTTAACTATTAAACAAAGTTGGCATTTATAGACTCAACAAGTTCTCTCTTTCCAATGGCTCATGTTGCTTTGTGGCTTCAGACGGACTTGGGAGAGATGAGGACAAAAATGGCTCTGTACATTTTAAATGTTGATGGTCTTTCAAGCAATTCCCAATAAAATACAACATAGTTTGTGGCTATAATGCATCAACTCAGAACTTTTTGAAGCAGTCTGGCTATCTTTGCAAGGCACTGTTTGCACTGATGTTTTCAGTA